CACATATTGCTAGATCTGGACAACTTTCTGCTGCAAAGGAGCAAAACTCCCTGTGCTGGTGGCAACCTCCTCTGTCCCTTCAGACCTAGCGCAATTTAGCAGCTATCTCACCTCTCCCACTGCTGCTTGTGCCTGGGGAGCTCTTCAGAACTGCCTGCCTCCTTATGAGGAGGAACATACTATATTTAACCTTTTCATTGCCACATAGGAAGCGATTTGCCCATCTCCACTGTAATGTAAACATCTCATTTATTTTTTTCCCTCTCCTCTCCCCTGTCTCTGTGTCCTTTCCCTGGCACTGCAGACTGCGATGCCTGGAAGGTTTGCTTGCGGCTCCGGGATAACGGCCTTCTGGCCAAACCTACCCACGGCGACATCATTCGGCTGGCCCCGCCGCTTGTCATTAAGGAGGATGAAATCAGAGAGAGCATCGAAATAATTCATAAGACCATTCTGTCCTTCTGAACACAAGGCTCTTCGAGTATCTCCGCTGACGGATCCAAGGTGGTGTGTTGAAATACCTGCTGGGGAGGCCGCTCTTGATGCAAGCATCTTTCATTCCTTTTATCTAAGAGGACTTAACTCCTTAAAATTTAGCCATGTCCTGTAATTATATTTGATCTGAGGAAAATATATCATGATTCTAAAGAGCTTCCAATCTTGAAATGTGTGGAAATGAAGTGATGAGGTTCTGTTCACTGAACACTTGAGTCAGAATGTTTGAGGAGAGATATATGTAGAAAGTTGTTTAATTATTGCAAGTCTTGCCCAAAGTTTAAAGTGTAATTTATATATATTTTAATAAGAGTGGTCATGCACTCCCACAGAACTCCCCAAAACTTTATATTTGACAGTTTTGCGCCTTAGCAAGATGTCTGTAGGACAGAAGCACTTGTCATTATGGTTGAATTTTTGTTTCTCATTTGTAGCTAGAAAAACCTTCTAGCACAGAAGGTGTGACAAACTGGATGTTATGCTGGTGAGCTTGAGGAGCATCAGGTTATGTTCTGTATGCAAAATGTTTTGATTGTATAACATGCGTTGCTGTTTTCAAGCCTGTTCTCAGTGCTTGGCTTTACAATCTGTAAAGCAGATCTGAGCGTACAGATCTGTTTTCATGGCTTTAAAACTTTCTATAATCTAGATATTTGCATTAAAACATACGTTGCATTAAAACAATTAATGTGTAATTCAGATCAACAGCGTTTTGAAAAGGAGCGAACCCGGTAGTCTTGCAGCAGACTCCAGCCAGAGTCCCATCAAACACCGGTACCTTTGCAATCCAGGTGTTTCTGACTGTCGTTACACAGCTTTTGCTGTGGTTCTTTTTCAGGATTGGCACTTCTGCACCCTCGTGCTTTTGGCTGCTGCCAAGTACAGTGTTAACCACGTGGAGGTGGCTGCTGTTCCTGCACCAGGCTGTTGCTTTATGTTTATTTGCTGAGTGAGTTTCTGAATGCTGTGGTTATGCAGCATAATTCCAATTATAACTGAATAAGAAACTGAGAGAAACCTTAATGTAATGAGCAGCTGCATCAGCCTTTCGGAGAGCAGGAGCTAGACCCCATCCTAAATCCTTCGCAGCTCAAAAGGTGACTTTTATAGAACAATAGGGCTAGCAAGGACCTGAAGTTGTTTCTCTTGCTGTGCTTTAAACTCACTTTTCCTGTCCACCAGGGCCACCTCCTCCACCTGGAGAACAGGCATTGCCTCTCCATACAACAGTTTTTTTTGCATACCTACAGGTTGTTGTTATTCCTGCTTCAATCATTTCTACTTCTTTGGATGAAATCCTGCCTCTTTCCTGATAGGTAACAGTTTATGGAGCCCTTAGCCATCCTGCTGTTCCCCTGTGCTCTAGTGCTCCAGCTGTGTCCACACTGTTGCTGAGCAGAGCAGGATTAGTTGCTGTGGCTTGGATGCTCTCCTCGGTTCGTGCCCAGTATTGTGGTTTGGATTTTCCTGCAGGAATGTGGTATTTCTGTTCTGTGTTCAGCATGTGCTGCCAGACTCCCTTTGACACCAAGTGGTCTGAAGAACAGCACTGAAGATGGTTTCTCCCACAGTTTTTACTTGTGTAATAAGCAGGAAAAATGTGTGTGTCAAGTTCTGTGGTGCTCCTGCCTGTTTATTTTTACCCTCAGACTGGTTCTCTGGCTTCTGAGAATTGCTTTGGTCTCTACTCTTGTTGCCCTACCTACTTTGTGGTTGGAGCCTTACTAGCCAAAGACTGCTCCAAATTCCTCTCTTTCCCAGCAGAGCACTGCTGGCTGATTTCCAGGCTCTCCAGTCATCCCATGGATGTTTCCTGAATCCCATCCCCTTGGCAAACTTGGGAAAATCAACATATGTAATGCGTTGAGTGCCCGTATTTAATATTTGGGGAATGGAGGCATCTCCATTCCCAACCCAAAGGGATCCAGAGCCACAGGCAGGTTGGTGGCACGGCCACCACGCGTCGGAGAGGCCTGCAAGCTGCAGGGTTGCGCGTTTGGCCTAATTACAGCCTAGCTGTGAGAAGAAGCACAGAGTTACACACATTGCCTTGGGAGCAAAGAGCACAACCTAGAGCTGGCTTTCCTGCACGCTAACCCAGTCAGCAGCTAACGTCCTCCTCAGCAACAACCCGAAACCTTCCAACGAGATGGCAGGAGGAGCTGGGAAAGCCCAAGGAAACGTCCAGCTGCTCCCGAGCTGCTGGCAATGCTGTCAGAGAGGGACTTGCCTTCACCAGGTCCTGGGTTTGGGGAGGGAGCAGGCAAAGGAAAGGTTCACTTCATCACATAAAGTGAGTTTTGGGATTTTTAAGCAAGCACGTGGTGAGTGGGATTTGGCCACTTTTCAGCAATGCTGCTTCAAACTCAATTACAGCTGCTCGTATAACCAATGTTCCTGTAAATCAGTCTCTGCTTTTGTTGTCTGGGATTTTAATTAGCCTTAGAAGTTTTCTTCGGGGCTTTTATTACCAAAAAAATGTAGACAATTAAAGTGCCTTTACCTGCTCGGTGCCAGAAACGCGGCGCTTTCGGGCTTGTGCTTGTGTTACATATTGCTCAAGTGCATAATGGCTCTGCTGAAAGTTTCAGTTTCAGGCAAAACTGAAAATCATTTGCACAGTAATGTAATATATGCTCTGAATACATACTCTGAAATGTGCAAAGAAAATACACAGGCTATTTCATAAAACATTGTGAGATAGATTTTTGCTTTTTTTTTCCACCATAACTAGAAGAAGCAGAGAAGTGAGAAAAACAAGCTCAGAAAATGCCCTTCCTGTATCTTCCCAGTACTTTTCCTAGTGCTTCTTACTTTGTATTAGAGACGACTCTGTGGAAATGACTTTTCTTTGTTGATGCCTTTTTCCTGGTATAATTGAAATTTATATTTAAAATGGTAACTTGAAAGATCTGAATATTTAAGCAGATTACTTACCCTAATGCTCTAGGTCTCTTTAACAAGAGCTACACAGCATTAACATTTGCCAAAGCTGTATCTGCAAAATGTTGCTTTAAGGGCTTGTTTGTGAAAGCTTCATCTCTCTGCATTATATTGCCTGCATTTATTTCTGCAAAGTAACTTTGGATGTTTGTTTACACCAGGTATAGCACGTGAAATGCTTCTTTAAATGAGTAGTGACTCTGCATTGAGTGGCAGGTAGCCTAAGTTCCTCGGAGCAGCCTTGGATTTCAGTGCAAGGTTTCTTTGCAGGAATAATGCACAATTGTGCTAGGTGCCTTGGCACTTTGGCAAGGGAGGTGCATATATTTTTTGGCATGAAATCATGGAATATACACACTGTCAGGAAAAAAAAATACTGTTTTTGCATAAATGTAAACTTAAGTTTTAAAGGCACTACGTGTAACAGTGAAGAGAGACGGAAACGTGTAAGGGGAGGTAGGAAACAATGCAAGTTTTCCAGCAGTCCTTGGAAACATGCTTGTGGCGTTGTCCTTTATCTGGGGATCTTTCCAGCCTCAGAAACAGGGATTCATGTCATCAAACAGTATTCTCTAAAGTTAAAACTTAGCAAAATAAATTGCTTGCTTTAAAGGAATTAAATGCCTACCGGTCATGACCTGGTGAAGAACTGCACATCTTGAACCTGTTAGAAGTTTCCGTGATGAAGCAATCTCTATTTTGTCTTTCAACAACAATGTTAGTGGTTTAGCTAAGTAGAAAAACATGCCTTAGCTGTCTTTCATCTTTTTGGCAGTCGCTGTTGCTTGTTCACTTCTCATCTTTTCTGTCTTTTGGCAGCAGATGGAGCCAGAAGCTCAGCTTTATGCTCAAAACTCGCTACTGGGCGCAGAGTTCTGGAGCGTCGCTCCTGACTGTTTGTTTTCTGTCTTCACTTGTGCAGAAAGTGGCACAAACTTCAGTCCCATCTCTAGGAACTACCTCAATGTGTGATTTACAACGGGTGACTTGTGCCTCGTTAGGGCTGTGAAAAGAATTCCTGTGCCTCTAGTGTGACAAATCCCCTGTAATTTGTAGCTGTCAAATGTGACTGACAGGGACGTGGGAAAGCAAAACAGAGGTTTTTCTTCTCAATGCACTGAAGTAGAATGGATCAGAAGGTGGAAGGTTGAGAGGCAAGTTTGAATGTTACTTTAAATTAGGAAATTCCTTTCCAGGGGCCTCCCTGCAGTGCTGCAGTGCGGGCTGAGAGGTGGCCTGTTGGGGTTCCTGCATCTGTGCTAAGTGATGGGGGCAGCTTGTAGCAGTGCTGGAGGTGTCGCAGGGACCTGCTGCACGGGCGGGAGCGAGCGGGGACAAGGAAAAAGTGCAGAAAATGCTTAAAATGTTCCTCACTTCTTTCTAATGCGAGCTATATGCTTTTATTTGCACGTACAAAGCAGCCTTCCTGCACGCTGCAGCCCCGTGTGCTGAATGCTGCCGTGGCCCACGTGAGACGTGGCCATAACGAAGCCTTTTGTGTCCTTGCCCGTCTGCTTGTGCTCGCTGGGGAGCTCTGAGCAGAGGCCCTGCCGGCTGGAAAATCCCTGCCTTGTTATCGGCACTAGTCCAAACAAGAGGAGAAACCGCCTCCCACGGCCTCACATCAAGTCCTATAAATTTCCTGTGATTTAGGCTATGTATGAAGGCCCTGAAGAGTCCTGACCTTTTGCATAGCACAGTAAACCAAACAAAGTCCCGGACCTTGGATGAACTCCCAGTCCTTCCCTAGGGCCTGACGCATGGGGGACCTAAGCCTCAAGTTGGTTAATACCGTCATTCAGGATAGATGTGGAATGAGAACCCGGAAAGGCGGGCAGACATACACCACTTAACTTGAAAAAACAGGCTGAAAAGCAACATCTGGGTGGATCTTTGCAGCAGGGACTGAGAGGGCAGCAAGTGCCAGGTAGGACTGTGCTGAAGGAGCTGCCAAGCTCCCGTAGAAGCTGTGGAGTTTTCCTTAATGTTGGAAAGAGCCTTGAGACCATAGAAGAAGAACCACACAAGCACTTACCCTTATTAATGGCTGTGTCCGTAGCTCTCTGTGACTAGAGC